TTAAACCAGGGTTGGAAAACCACATCTAGCTAGTGTAAAGCCGTCTGGCTGCTCCCCATGGTAGGAAAAAAAAAAACACAAACAAATCCACTTTGGTTTATTAGCATTTTGCTCTGACATAATTTCATTTGCAATAACATTTGAGAGGCGAAGAAAGGAAATGTGAATATTCAGAACAGTTTTTGTTTTACCTGTAGAGCTTAATTCTACAATCCTTCCATCCCCCATGTTGCCAGTAAGGGTAGAATTCTTGCCAGCTGGACATGCCAGGAAAACCAAGCAGCACCAAGCCTAGCTAATTGGACCATATTGAATTCTAATTCAGTTGGTTCAGTTGGTCCTTCTTTGGGGCAGAAAATTGCTTTAGGCAAATGTGCTGGTCTGAAAGACTGGGAACACTTTGGAGGTTTAAGTTTTTAGCACCATCGGGGGTTGTTACAAACTCTGAACTCAATGAACGACTGAGTAGCCTTACTTCTATGAATTTCCCATGCAGCATTTTAACTCTGCTGCTTCAATTCCATTCTAGTACGCAGGCTGCTTGAGTTTGTAAGACTCCCATTTCTTCCTTCATAATACAGGGATACTAGCAAAGAATACCTCCTCTAACATACAAGTCTGTAATAAATATGAAATAAGGTCATCTGTTTCCAGATATGCTGCTCCTAAAAGGAAAAGTGTTATCTAAATTCTAAATAGTGCCATGATATTTTTATAACAATCTTATATTTTAATAAGACAAAGAATTTACGTGACCCAGTGAGCTGTAGTTTCTTGGACTGTGAACCAGAGTAGCACTTAAAATTTATATCTTGGCCAGGCGCGGTGCCTCACATCTGTAATCCCAGCATTTTGGGAGGCCAAGAGGGGTAGATCACCTGAGGTCAGAAGTTCGAGACCAGCCTGGCCAACATGGTGAAACCCCATCTCTACTAAAAATCTAAAAATTAGCTGGGTGTGGTGGTGGGTTTCTGTAGTTCCAGCTACTTGGGAGGCTGAGACAAGAGAATTGCTCAAACCTGGGAGGTGGAAGTTGAAGCGAGCTGAGATTGTGCCACTGCACTCCAGCCTGGGTGATGCAGAAAGACTCTGTCCCCCCGCCCAAAAAAAAATTATATCTTATTTTTTCAGCAAGTTCCTTAGGTATTACATTAATGTTTATATAAATTAAACTTGTTTTTCACAACAGCAGCCATTCATTAGGTGAGAGTTGATATCTAAGAAGAAATAAGTAACAGCCTGGTGGGACCAGCAAGAAACACAGGAGGAGGAGTGTGATGTTGGTGGTTCAGTTTTCCCATAATTGATAGGACAAAAGTGAGACATCAAATATTTTTTTCTTTTAATTACAGGAAAAAAAAAAGCTGCACAGAGACGTTAGACAACTGTTTTTAGAGCTGATCAACTGTAATCTAAGTTTTCTTTTCTTTCTTCCTCTTGAGTCAAGGGGGTTTTGTTTTTTGTTTTTAAAATATTGAAGTGGTTTGAAAGATGGGAAGGCAGTTGTGCTAAATTTTCTATTATCAGCATGGAAGTGATAACAGCTTTCTTACCCCTTGGGAGAAGAGGTGGCAGTTGGAAGCCCATGAACGCGCAGTGCTGTGTCGGCACACTTTTCACCAAAGCAAAAAACAGAGTAAGAGTATCTGCTTGTAATAACATAATGAGTCTATTACTTTTTCTCAGTATGAAGTGAGGGTTAAAGATGCACATGTTATTAGGCAAAAGAGAGGACCAGGAAATTGGCGGAGTTTTTAACCCTCCCTTTCCTGTTTGGTGGACACCAGGACTGCCTTGGCCGCAACCCTTGGCCTTTTCAAGGCTCCAAGGGCCAGCAGCACTGAGTGTGTTTTTCCCTAGTCGCCTGCTTTGGGATCTTGCTTTCTGTGCTAGTGTCATTTTATTTGAGCCTGATGAAATCCTTCACTAAGCTGCAGAAAGGAGAAAGTGCATACCAGGGGTGAGTTGCCAACGTAAGGCTTAGTCAGTAAGGTGCAGGAGGAAGCATTTGATACCCATTTCCCTCCTCTTCACCAAACACTTGGGCAGTACTTGGCAAGAACTGTATTCTATTTACAGTCATCTTGCTTATGGTGAAAATTATATATTTTATCCCAAGCAACAATAAAAAAAAATATTTTGAAACCTCTCACTGGCACTTCTAATGAACATGATAAATAGAAGAATATGCTCATCAAAAAATATTCCCCTTTTTTCTATGATAAACCCAATAAATATTTCATTAGAAGAGTTTGGCTTCTCATGTGAATTGTGAAATCTCTTGGGTTATATTAAGACTGTAAATGTAGTTCAAAGCAGCTCAGAGCCTCGCTTTAGGGGACGGGTGCTTTTTATTTTTTATCCTTTCCCTAGAGGGTCTGATTAGCCCAGAGCTCATTTGGTGCAATAATGGAACAGGAAATTTTCTACGAATGACTGCAACAGAGCTTCAGTGGAGAGTATGCTACCTTGGGAGAATCAGGTCATTCTCATATCTGCTGGGGAAATGCTTGCTCCCCAAGAGAAAGGAATTGGAAAAATAAATTCTTCTGACAAGTGGAGAACTTCTGTGCAGAATGTTCCTGAACCTTGCCAGGGGGAGAGATTTTGTCTTCCTGATCTGATTGCCCTAGCATTTTTTCTTCTTCTTTTTTAAAATTTTGTGGTTTTATTTTATTTTAACATAAGAGAACTGAAAGGTCAGAATGCTCTAATGTGCATTCTTCTAATCTGAAGGGTTCGTCATTTCAGTTCTGAACACCGATTTCTGCCACTTTGGTCAGCACGAAGGAAGAGACACATTTCTTTTTCTCCCTGACACCTTCGATGACATGATACACAAATGATGGACTATGTAATGATTTAACCAAGCCTGATCTTTCTGCCTGGGGCACTTGTAGCACTTAAAGCCTCAGTGGGTCTTTATTTATTTATTTTTTAGATCACTCAAAGAGAGAAACCATGCTATGTAAAATTTGCCTACAGTTAAATCTTTTACATGGAGATTTTATTTTTTTTCTTATTTCTGACCAACTATCCCCATAAGCTAAAGTGGAAGAGTTCTAGAGGGAAGTTCCACAAATATTTTAATTATCATTTTTTCCATCTTTAATGTCTGGGGTTTTCGTATGACCTCTCCTTTATCTGGACACTGTGCAGAGGAGAAATTTCATGTCCTTCAATTTCCAGGGTGATCCCTTGGTTTTGTCACTTTGACTGATTATTTTCTTTCCTGAGTACTACACAGCATATGCTGTCTGCTGGATTCAGCTACATTCATTCCCCTCTGGTTCACTGTGTTGTAGGTGATGTGATGTACCAGGGATCTTGCTCGAAGCCACTGCTGAATTTCTTAAGAGCACTTGAGCATCTCTTGAATGACATAGGAATTCCTCTGACACCACTGACATGGTGATTCTTTTAGGATAGGGACATGCCATTTTTTTTTCTTCTTTTTCTTTCCTGGTTTATCCAGGCAGGATTTAATATAGAGACGGATGAGTAGACAGAAAGGAAGATGAGGTAGGTTTTACATGTCTGTCTTTTAAATTAATAAAAGCCACAAAAATATTAAGAATTAAGCTACATTTGGAGAGACCTCAAGAGAAATCTGTCCGTCTCCAAGACCCAGTGGCATTTAAACGTCACTGACGACAAAGCCATCAATTGGTCATGAACTTCATTACAAAGTGTGGAAACAAAGAGGGTGAAAAAATATCTAAAATGTGTTTTTTTTAGGAAGACCTTAACCAATTTAGATGTGGTCAAAGAGCATTCTTAGAAGCCCTGTCTGAAAGATGTTAGTTTTGTCTAATGCCAATTATTACCAGAATTCAACTGAGACTGAATTTCGGACTGTGAGTAGTAAAGGTGAGAAGAGGGGTGGAAGCTGGTGGTCGGTGGGGCTGAGAGGTGGGAGCTGCTGGCCACTGGGAAACAGGTGTGGCAATTTTTAATGGGCTGGTCAATGTCATTGACAAGATGGCATTTCATTAAGGCCATGAAAAAGAAGACTGAGCCAGCCTTGTAGGATCTTCAGAATGGAGAAAAATCAGGTCAAAGGCCATGAGGTAAGGGTGTGCCTGGTTGAGTTTGAAGAAAACCGAGGAGATCAAATTTCATGGAATGTTGCTGTAAAGGGGAAAGAGGATAACACGAGGGTAATGAGGGGGTTCTCTTTAAGACACTTGACACTGATGGGCATGACCCAATAGAGGGGAAGAAATTCTTAATGTAGGGAGAGCAATGGGAGGGGAAAAGTTTCAGGAGTCAGGTTTGTGTGAGAGAGGGGAGACGGAATCTAGAATGCAAGTGAAGGGTTGGCTTTAGGGAGGAGCTTAGACAGTTTTTTGAAGGTAGGGGTCATCCACTTAAAATGAGATCAGTCAGCAAGCTGCGTGGCTTTCTTCAGCCATGGCTATCTCTGTTGGTGTACAGAGTAAACCGAGTTGATTTATCCTAGCCTGGGACTTTGTTAATCTTCTTAACAAGACTGTTAAGAATATATGCAAGAGTGCGAGATGATGAACCATCAAATCTAATCTACATAGGGAAGGAAATTAAGGGACCAAAAAAAGCTTAAGTAGTCAATGATTAATACTGCCTAGGGGGTCAAAGGTTTTGGAGTTGGGGCATTAGTGAGTGAGCTGGAAAGACAGAATGGTTGAAACTGTAATTATGGATGACTTTGCTGGTAATGACAAGGCTAGAGTATGGCCTTGGGAGGGAGTGGCTGAGGCAGGGTGGGAAATGTGAGAGTTGGAAAAGGGCCTCAAAAAACCAAGAGTCTAGGATATTGGAAAGATCATATATATGGATATTGACATTACCAAATACATTGGAGAAGTGGCGGTGAGTTAGGTGCTAAAATCTTCATGGAATTAGGTGAGTGACCTGTGGGTCTGTAGGTAACAGCAATAAGCTAGAACAGTGATTGATAAGGACTAAACATGTGGCATTAAAAGATGAGAACTTTGTGGTGTTGTTTGTTCTTGTGGCAGGAAAAAGGATGTTCAAGCAGCATATGAAAGCAGAACACCTGCCCCTACCTCCAGATCCGGCATTACAAGGACCTTGCAAGATACCACAGCCACCATTTTCAGACTGCTGGGTAAAAGCAAGTGGTTTCCTGAGAGCCTGTCCATTTACAGCAAGAAGTTAAAGAAGGTTCTGAGAAGAAGCTAACAGCTGAGCGTGACTTCCAGAAGACAGTGTAGACTGGTTTCAGGTGAGTGGATGGGAAAAGGGAGACTGTAGGGATAATTGAGAATAAGAATCCAGGAAGATCAGGGTTGATTGGGAGCTCCAGGCTCCTTGTGAGGTTTGATGTACATGAGAGAATGGCAAAATGAGATTTGCCTGGAAGTTCTCAATGTAAGCATTGAGGAGAAGGCTGGGAGTGTTGCAGGGCACTGAGTGTGAAGTCTTGCTGGGAGTGCTCTGAGGCTTCCTCTTTATTCCTGACAGTGGTGAAGCGGGGCCATAGATGGCAGGCTTTATCCTGACTACTTGGAAACCTGGGAGAGGTGTGGAGACCAGGGGAGGTTCATCTTTTTCAACTGATGTGTGGGTGGCTCTTCAGAGCAGATTTGAAAGTGTGCAATGGAAAATGGTGTTGGAAATGAGTTGAGTAGATGACTCAATGCTACTCTAATTTTAGTGCCCCAAGCCATGCCCAGCTCAAAAGTCACAGGGTGGTCATAACAGTTCCACTTTTCTACTCCTGTCATCATTAAGACTCAGAAATAAATAAAAGAAGGGGCCTGTCTTCAACATATCAAAAGCAGCTAAATTTGTGTCCATTTATCCTTTCACTGTTGTGAGATCAAGCAGTTGCACCTCAAGTGCATTCACTGGTATAATTTCTAGCAGGAGAGGCCACTTCGTTCCACGTTGGTGCCCCACTCATCCTCCCAGCATGTTCCATACAAAGAGACATCTGGTTTGCAGAGGTGCTCTTAGGAACCAGCATGATTTGGTGGCTTGAGCACAGGTCCTGGGTGTGAGGAGTGTGCCAAGGATGCAATCACGCATACTTTTCTGGGGATGCACACCTGGACTGCCAAGAGGGGGCTACCTAAAAACAATTGTCTTGGATGCCAAGTACTTTCAGAACAGCTAGCTCCAGTGGAAACCTCTTCAACTCTGGCAAGAATTCCAAGTTTTGAGGGCTGTGCACACTCAATTTTCACACCGTATGTGAGCCATTGCTTTGTGCGGAAATGCTTGAATGCAGGTAGAATTCTTGTAATGTGCCTTTAGTGGCATGATACTGCATGCAGAGTGACAAGCCTTAATAAACATCCTCTCACAGCTATGCTTGGAACAGCCTGATGCAAAAATTAATACTTCTTAATGAGTCATGACTGATTCTAGAATTTAAAGAAGTATTCAATGTTTTCACAGAAACAGGTAATGGAGAAAACTCTGGACAGCTACTGGCAATTTTGAATATCTGCAGAGAGCTGGAGGGATGACAGAAAGAGATTTGCTTCTTTAAGGTTTGTGTTAAAAAATGAAACAATACTATATAATTCCAACTATAGGACTTTCTGGAAAAGTCAAAACTATGGAGACAGTAGAAAGATCCATGGTTGCCAGGGGGCTCAGGATTGGGCGTTAGGGTTGCATAGGTCAAGCATAGTGAAAATACTCTGCAGGATAATGTAATTACACAAATGTATAATGAATATGTGTCATTATACATTTGTCTAAGCCCATGAAATATAGAACAGCAAGAGTGAACCCTGTAATATACTATAAACTTTTGAGTGATGTGATGTGTCAATGTAGGTTCATCAGTTACAGCAAATGTACTCCCCTGGTGGAGGATGTTGGTGATGGGGGAGGTTGTATTCACATTATACGGGCAAGGGATATAGTTGATATCTCTGTTATCTTCCTCTCAATTTTGCTATGAACCTAGAATTGCTCTTTAAAAAAAGTCATAGGCTGGGTGCGGTGGCTTACGCCTGTAATCCCAGCACTTTAGGAGGCTGAGGCAGGTGGATCACCTGAGGTCAGGAGTTTGAGACCAGCCTGGCTAACATGGCGAAACCCTGTTTCTACTAAAAAATACAAAAATTAGCTAGGAGTGGTGGCGGGCACCTATAGCCCCAGTTACATGGGAGGCCGAGGCAAGAGAATTGCTTGAACCTGGGAGGTGGAGGTTTCAGTGAGCCGAGATTGTGCCACTGCACTCCAGCCTAGGTGAGAAAAGTGAGACCTCTGTCTCAAAAAAAAAAAAAAAAGTCATAAAAAACATAAAACAACAACCAAAAACCCTTTGAATCTTTAAGATCTCTTTCTCCCCTGCTCTCTCTTCTCCTGCTGTTACTATTAACCACTGTGAACAGTTTCATTAATAGGAACAGCTTTTGGCAACCTGTCCCTAGTAATGAACATTTGGGTGGATTTTATTTTGCAGCCATTACACCAAAACTGTGGTGGACTTCCTTGTGCAGTTGTATTTTCGTGCACTAAGGCATGTCTATCTCTGGGTTAACCGCCTAAAAGCATAATTTCTGGTTTAAAGAATGTACGCATGTATTTTTAGTTTGACAAATAAGGCATTTTATTTTAGGTTCACCGTGTTCCAGCAAACCAATAAGTAAACGATGAATTAGAAAATGTAAAACTAGATAAAGGAAAAGATAAGTGGCAGGGAAAAAATACAGTGGGTTAATAAGCAAATGAAAAGATACACAATCTTACTCGTCACTAAAGAAATGAAAATTAAAACAAGATACCATTTTACTCAAAAAATTGATAAATATTTATGAGTTTGATCCCACATGGCATTGGTGAGAGGGTGGGAGCCCAGCATATGCATGCCTTCCTGATGGTGGTGTGAACCATCTCACTTGTTTTGGAAGGCACTTCCGCAAGAATTTTGCCAGTGTTTTAACTTTCTAATGCCCTGCAACTTGGCCTCGAGCTACACTCTGCTCGCTTGATCAGAGGAAGATTTTCTCTGGGCACCAGTGATAGTTTATTTTTCAGTTTGGAAAGCTGTCTGACTTACCTCATTATGAATCAATGTATCAGTTTAACTCCGAAGGCAAAGGCAATTTTGTTTCATTCATTTAATAGAAGTTTGTTAGGCATCTGCTGTGTGCCTCTGGGAACACAGTAGTAACCAGTGGGCATGGCAGGCAGGGCCTTTTCTCTCAAATAACTTTTATTTTGATGGAGGAGGGCAGGCAGCAAGCAAACACAGAGATACGTGATCAATAGCAGGAGAGAGCAAGTACTGTGGTTGAATCAAAACGGGTGAAGTGATGGCAAGTGACTGCCAGATATTTAGATCAGTGGCCAGAGGGTCACTCTATAGATATGACATTCAGGCTGAATGCTGAATGACAAGAGAGATCTGGCCATGCCAAGACCTGGAGAGGTCCTATGAGCAGAGGACACAGCATGGGCAGAGGTCCTGGGGGCAGGAAACCAGTGTTAGGGACTGAATTTTGTTCTCCCAAAATTCATATATTGAAGCCCTGATCTTCAATGTTACTGTATTTGGAGACAGAGCCTTTAAAGTGGTAATTAAGGCTACTTGAGGTCATAAAGGTGGGACCCTAATCCAATAGAACTGGTGTCCCTAAAGGAAGAGACACAGGGATGTGTGTGCACAGAGGAAAGACCCTGTGAGGAGACTGTGTGAGGAGACTAAACTTGCAGCCACCTTGGCTTAGACATCTGGGGTCCAGAAGTGTGAGAAAATAGTTGCCTATTTTTTGAACCACCCAGTCTGTGGAATTTTGTTAATCAGCCTGAGCTGATTAAGGCAACCAGTGTGGCTATAGCCTCATGACCACGAGGTAACAGAGGGCTGGAATGAGCCGGGCTTTGAGGACCGGCATAAAAATGCTGGATGTGGTTTGCAGTGTGATGGGACACTATGGGGGGCAGGGGTTAAGTTTGGAATTCTCACTCTACTTGCTGTGAGGAGAATGGAATGAAATGGGCAAATAGGAAGCAGGAAGGACAATGAGAGGCCTTATCTTATAGAAGTCCAAAAGAGGTCAGGTGTGGTGGCTCACATCTGTAATCCCAGCACTTTGGGAGGCCAAGGTGGGCAGATCACCTGAGGTCAGGAGTTTGAGACCACCCTGGGCAACATGGTAAAACCCCATCTCTATTAAAAATACAAAAAAATTAGCCAGGAGTTGTGGCACATAGCTGTGCCTGTGATCCCAGCTACTCAGGAGGTTGAGGTAGGAGAATCACTTGAACCTGGGAGGTTCAAGTGAGCTGAGAAGGTGCCATTGCACTTCAGCCTGGGAGATGGAGTGAGACTCATCTCAGATTTAAAAAAAAGTCCAAAAGTGAGGGCAGACGATGGTGGTAGCTAGAGTGGCAAGAAAGAGATAGAGAGGGCGGAGTGATCTGGAATATAATGTGGTGAAAGAGAGGGGAGCCTTGGGAGTCTCTACCCAGTGGTGCACCCGGGGAGGGCAGTGGGTGTGGTCTGTCCTGGTACCCACAATAGGGGGTGCATTGTCTGGAGAGAATTTAAAGACAATGGTAGTACTGACCCAGAGTCCTCTGCTTCATATTATCATCATGCCCTGATACTTCTAGACAATGTTTGGGATAGAACACTCCTCAACATGAGCATGGATACCTCCTGTCATCTCCCAGTACCCACCATCTCACTCCCTTGGCCCAGATGCTGGGGCGGGAGTGTGAGCCCAGTAACTGCACCCATTAGTGCTGTGAGGCAAACTGAGGGTCTCAAATTCTCACCTAGTAGGCTAGCACCTTCCTCTCCATTCCGGAAGGGTGAGTGGATAAAGATGTGAGTGGAGAAAAAAACAGATCTCTCCTGCCAACATGTCCCTGCACAACCAGACGGCATGAGCACCAACAGGTCGCCAGGTGGCCAGGCATCCCCAAATTCTCCTCAGCTTTCAGTTCTCTCTCAAACCTTTGGACTGCTGGACAAGCCTATAGTCAGCCGAGGACACAGCTGTCCCCAGAGAGAAGGGGTCAGCGGTACCAGGGCCACGCTGCTCCTTCTGCTGGGCCACTGTCCCATACTCAACAAGACTCTGAGGATCATCTCCTGGCCCTACAGAGCCGTGCAGTTCAGCTCTTACTTCAGTAGGATACAGAGGGGCTACAAAAGGACATTATTTCAAAGGCCAAGCCGAATTTTAGGCTGAGTTCATGCCTCAGCCAATACCCAGGCACACTAGCCAAAATAGCATACCCAAGATTAGGAACTGGATCAAAATAATGCAATGTTGATTCCCCAATATCAAAAATAGATAACTTATCTCCCTACTAAAGTCCTAGAAGAAATTAGAGCTCAAAAGTGAAATAAAAATCGAACTCCCCTTTCCCTTGTCAACCAAAGAAGCCTAATTCTAAAATACCTTCCTCCTCCATCTCCCATTCTGCTCAGAGTCAGTCTTGCCTGGCTGTTGCAGGCTGATTTCTAGGGAAGTGCTACAGCTGCCGAATCCTTCTAAGAGTAGATTCGGCCAACCCCAGAGATCTAATGTGTCCCAGGTCCCCAAAGGGCCAAATAGTCAACCTGACTCATAAGATGATTGATCAGAGCATCAGACCCATACAAGCACCATTTATACATGATGATTTGCGAAAAGCATTTCGCAAATAGAAGCGATGTTCCCCTCTTACTTTAGCCAGCAATAGATCAAAGCAGAGAGTTGGTGTTGTTATGTGGAGGAAGTAGCACAGAGGAAAAAAAAAAAGTATGAAGGGGAAAAAAATCATCTTGTCTTTGGATTTGCCTGTGTGCCAGTTACTCTATGCCAGCTGTCTGGAGTATACAACATGTTCACTTAAACTCAATTGGAAAAATTTTCCATCATGAGGTTCAACATACTGCCATATGCTCCTACCCAAGCCTTACATAAGGCCAAAGCTTCCTCGCCTGCGCCGCTGCCGAGAACTTTCTCTTTCCGAATCCTAAGAAGTGAAGACCTCTGCCTGCCATGTGCTTCTTTTCCCAAACTTGCAGTAACTGCAGATTTCTTTAGCTCATTCTGGCTGACATAACCCCCAAAACATGTGATTCAGTGGTCCCTGAGAAATAATGACCCTCAAAGCTTTTCCTTTCCCAATATTTTCCTTAACTCCCCAGGCTTTGAATAAATTCAGCTGCCCAAGAGGCAGCACAAAATCCCTTGTCAACCACCCATGTCCTGATACATTAAATCCAAAGCAGTGGACAAAGGCAAGAAGCTAAGCAAGTAACCTTGTCTCTCACATGCTCAACTCTCCAAATATCTCATCCATTTGAATTCTCTGACATTTGAATATTTCTAGGTTCAATTGAGATGAGTCTTCTTTAACGCTATTAAAGTCCTTGTTCTTTTCAGGGCTGCAGTCCGTGAAAGGCTCCGTGAGATCCTGAACCCCTGGAGAAATTAGACGGTCCAAGAAAACCTAACTGATGCCAGATGAGAAGTCTCTATCTCTGCTCCAGACCAGATCCCTGCTTATTCATTTTGAGATTCCAAATAAACAGTGAGTTTCTTTTAGTGGTAATTCTACCTGTGACCAACTGCATTAGGATCCCTGGCACAGATGCAGATGATTGTCATTTGCTGGGGCCTATGATTGATAGGTCCAGATTCCTTGGCCTTGTCATTCCAGAGGTGCCGTAATGATCTGCACTGTAAGCAGCAGAAGAATTGGAACAGAGAGAGGAGTGTGGCCTCCATCTCACTCACTGTAACCAATGAAGCTAGAAGAAAGCTCACACTTCTCCTGAGCATGTGAGAGTGAAAAAGTAAGCTGATCATCTAGTTTGGAGGCATGGAGATCCTGCCTTCTGCTAAAACTGGTCAAATGAATGGCTGGTCCTTTGACCCAAATAGCTCCATAAACAAGGACCAAAAGCTTGCCTGTAAAAGACAGGTTGTTGGTCCCAGGTACGTGTCAGTGCTAGCCTGTTTGTATTGCTATAAAGGAATACCTGAGGCTGAATAATTTGTAAAGAAAAGAGGTTTATTTGGCTCCTTGTTCTGCAGACTGCACAGAAAGCATGGCACCTGCATCTGTCCCTCGTGAGGGCTTCAGGAAGCTTTTACTCATGGTGGAAGGCAAAGGGGAACGGGTGTGTGCAGAGATTATATGGCAAGAGAGGAAACAAGAGAGGGGAGGAAGGTGCCAGGCTCTTTTAAACAACCAGCTGTCGTAAGTACTGATAGAGCGAGAACTCATTCATTACATGAGAACTGCACCAAGCCTTTCATGAGGGATCTGCCCCCACAAGCCAAACACCTCCCATCAGGCCCCCCTCCAATACTGGGGACCAAATCTCAATATGAGACTTGGTGGGGCCAAACAAATCATACCCAAACCACAGGATTTTGCCCCTGGTCTTCCAAATCTCATGTTGTCTCACATGGAAAATACAATCGTGCATTCTACTAGTCCTTAAAAATCTTAACTTCTTCTAGCATCAACTCAAAAGTCCAAAGTGTAAGGTTTCATCTGAAACTCAAGGCAAGCTTCTTAAGCTGTGAGCCTGTAAAATAAAAGACAAGTTATTTACTTCCAAGATGGAATGGTGATACAGACATTGGGTAAACATTTCCATTTCAAAAGGGAGAAATCAGTCAAAAGAAAGGGTCAATAGGCCCCACACTAGTCAGCTGGGCAGACATTAAATCTTCTTCTTCTTTTATTTTTTTGAAGCATAATCTTGCTCTGTTACCAAGACTGGAATGCAGCGGTATGATCATGGCTCACTGCAGCCTCAACCCCCCAAGCTCAAGCAGTCCTCCCACCTCCGTCTCCTGAGTATCTGGGACTGCAGGTGTGCATTACTGCACCTGGCTAATTGAAAAAGAAAAAGAAATTTGTACAGATGGGGTCTCATTGTGTTGCTCAGGCTGATTTTGAACTCCAAGCCTCAATCAGTTCTCTGATCTCAGTTTCCCAAAGTGTTGGGATTACAGGTGTGAGCCATTGTGCCCAACCAAGAAATTAATTCTTAAAGCTCCAAAATAATCTTCTTTGACCTCATGTCCCACATCCTGGGCACACCGGTGTGAGACGTGGGCTCCCAATGTCTTGGGCATCCACCTCCCCATGGCATTGCTGGGTGAGCCCATGTGGGTGCTCTCATGGGTAGGAGTCTGGTACCTGTGGCATCCAGGCTGAGGGTGCATGCTGCCAGTGGCTCTATCTTTCTGGGGTCTCAAGCATGACAGCCTTCTCCACAGCTCCACTAGGCAGGATTCTGGAAAGCATTCTCTGTGGGAGCTCCAACTCTATATTTCTGCTTAGCATTGCCTTTGTAGAGGTTATCTGCATGGGCTCCTGTGTCAGGCTTCTACCTGGGCACCCAGGCTTTTCTATGTATCCTCTGAAATCTAGCTAGAAGCTGCCAAGTCTCCATCACTCCTGAATTCTGGGAGCCTACAGATTTAACACCATATGAAAGCTGCCAGGGCTTATGGCTTGTGCCTTCTGGAGCAGCAGCCTGCACAGCACCTGGGGTCCTTTTGAGCTATGGCTGGAGCTGGAGTGAGAGATAGGGAGCAGCATCCTGAAATGGCACAGGGCAGTGACACTCTGGACCAGTTCCCCAGAACTGTCCTGTCCTCCTAGGCCTCTGGGGTTATATTTTATTATTATTATTATTTTTGAGACAGAGTCTCATTCTGTCACCAGGCTGGAGTACAGTGGCATGATCTTGGCTCACTGTAACCTCTGCCTCCCGGTTCAAGCGATTCTCCTGCCTCAGTTTCCCGAGTAGCTGCGACTACAGGTGTGCGTCATCACGCCCGGCTGATTTTTGTATTTTTAATAGAGACAGGGTTTCACCATGTTGGCCAGGCTGGTCTCAATATCTAGACCTTGTTTGTGATCCACCTCCCAAATTGCTGGGATTAGCGGCATGAACCACCACGCCCAGCCTGGTCTCTGGGATTATCATGGAAAGGGTAGCCTCAAAGATTTCTGAAGTGCGTTCAGAACCTTTTCCTTATTGTCTTGACTGTTAGCACCTGATTCCATTTTATTCTTGCTAATCTCTGCAGCAAGTTGTTCCAAATTTTCACACTCTGCATTTTAATTACAAATTCCAACTTTAGGTCATTTATTTGCTCCTATATCTGATCATAAGCTGCTAAAACTAGCTATGGCACTTCTTGAATGATTAGCTGCTTAGACACCAGAATATTGACAAAAGGAAAAGCTTTTTGGGTTCATTATTTCTCAGAGACCACTAAGTAACAAGTTTGGGGAGGTTATGTCAGCCAGAATGAGCTAAAGAAATCCACAGTCACTGCAAGTTTGGGAGGAGAAGCACATGGCAGGCAGAGGTCTTCACTTCTCAGGATTCAGAAAGAGAAAGGTCTCAGCAATGGCTCAGGTGAGCAAGCTTTGGCCTTATGTAAGGCTCGGGTAGGAACATACGGCAGTATGTTGAACCTCATGATGGAAAATTTTTCCAACTGAGTTTAAGTGAACCTTGTGGAAGGCTGATTTTAAGATTGCTAAACTTGCCTTCCACAAAGCTCTAGGACATGGTCACAATGTGGCCAAGTTCTTTGCTACAGTGTAACAAGAGTGGCCTTGGCTCCAGTTCCCAGTAAGTTCCTCTTTTCCATCTGAGACCTTGTCAGCTTAGCCTTCACTGTCCATATTTCTACCAACATTTTGGTTACAACCACTTAACCAAATTCTGTAATAAATTTCACTTTCCCTTGTCTTTCTTTTTCCAATCCCTCCAAACTCTTCCAACATCTGCCCGTTATCCAGTTCTGAAGCTGCTCCATATTTTCAGATATCTTTACAGCAACACCCCCTCCTTGGTACCAATCTTATGTTTTAGTCCATTTGTGTTGCCATAAAGGAATCCTTAGGCTGGGGAACTTATAAAGAAAATAGGTGTATTTAACTTACAGTTCTGCAGACTGTACAAGAAATATATTGCCAGCATCTGCTTCTGGTGAGAGCTTTAGGCTGCTTCCATTCGTGGTGGAAGGTGAAGGAGAGCTGGCATGTGCAGAGCACATGCAGAGGAAAGAGGAAGTGAGAGAAGGGAGGGAGGTACCAAGCTCTTTTTAACAATCAGTTCTCATAAGAACTAATCAAGCAATAACTCGTTCATTTCCATGAGAATGGCACCAAGCTATTCATGATGGATTCTACCCACGTGACCAAAACACCTCCCATCAGCCCCACCTCCAACATTGAGCATCACATTTCAGCAGGGGACTTGGCAGGGTTCAAATAAATCATATCTATGCCACAAGCACAGCAGCATCCCACCCAGGTGTACATGCTTCAGCAGGACGCCAGTTTTGTTTCAGGTTACAAGACAGAGTAGCTCCACTCATTAATAAAACAGCATGAGCCACAGAATACCGGCTCTGGTTCTTTTAATTGGTCACTATAGTCACTACTTCTTCCTTAGAAAAGAGTGGATTGGGGGAACAGTTGGAGGGGGAGAGAGAGAGTGAGAAAGACAGAGAGAAAGCCTAAGTGTTTATTATAATACTGTCTTCTGCATGCAGAATGTCAGATTGAGAGGCATGAGTAGTGTATCAGCCAGGGTTTCAACAGAGAAACAGAATAAGTAGAATGTGGGGTGTGTGTGTGTGTGTGTGTGTGTGTGTATGTGTGTATGTGTGTAAAATGAGACTTATGTGATTGTGGGGACTGACTATGCGAATCTAGAATCTGTAGGGTGGATCATTAGGAAGGGCAAACTGAACAACCCAACCAGGGGTGATGCAGCTCACAGGGGGGGTTTTTGCTTTCTCAGGAAAACTTCAGTTTTGCTCTTAAAGCCTTCCAACTACTTGGATGAAGCTCACCCAGATTATCCAGGTTAATCACCCTCATGTAAAGTCAACTAATTATAGACGTTAATCAAATCTACAAAATACTTTACAGCAACACTTAGATTAGTGTTTGATTGAATAACTAGGTTCTATAGTCTAGCCAAGTTGACACATGAAATGGACCATCACAAATAGTGAGGAAAACATACAGCTTTCTCCACTAACTAGGTGAATGTGACGGGGAGGGTGTATCAGACCTGGAAACAGCATGTGAATAGAAACATTGAAAAAAACTCAGTGTTGCAGGTGGGATGGAAGGTGGCAAAAACAAACAAAACAAAAAGAGAAAAAGAAACTCAGAATGAAGAAGGAAAAGATTTATAATGGTGAGCTGCAAGTTAGGCAGAGGCAAAATCATAAGTTGTCTTGCATTTTAGAGCTAGGAAGTTTAGATTTATCCATATGCTTAAATCTTAGAATTTTAAGATAGAGAGGGATATGAGAAGATATATATTTGTAGAAAGATGAAGGATGTGACTCTAAGAAGGGACTGGAAGAGGCAAAAATGGAGACACGAAGGCAAGCTAAGAGTTGGTGGACAGGATACAGGGAAGAAATGTGTTTCTAGGGGTAAAGCTGACGAGAAGGTATAAATTCATCATCAATTTAGGCTATTTAAGAAGTAGAATTTACAACACGTGGTAAGGATTGAAAATGGGGTTGAGAAGTCAGAGAGGAGTCCATGTGTCAGGCAACACACATGGTTTTTGGTCATTCCTCTGCTGAAACAGGGAATTGGGAGGGAGATCTGATTTATATGCTCTGTGCTCATCATGTGTGGTATGTATAGGGGTTCTGTGGAGAAAGGAGACTGTGAGCGTTCACATGTGAATAGGCAATAGTAGAGCCCTAGAGAGATGTCTGAGCTGAAAATAGAACTTTGTGGACTTTTAATATAGATTTCATAGTGAGTTATACAACTGGAAGAGATTATTTCAGAAGTCTATGAGCATGAGGGGACTCCAAAAAGAATAGGAAAAGAGGAAGTAAGAGGACAAGAAAAGAAAAGGGCCAGTGGGAAAATTCTCAGGGTCACTAACATTTAAAGGATTGGAATAGAAAGAGCATGCTGTGAATGACATAAAAATCAAATAAGATGAAATTGCATGCTCTTTTCAATAACTCCCTACATGATGATATTCTGCGGAGTACTTGCTGTCTCTGGTCATCTTAAATGATTTATCTAATTCCCTCTATGGCCAGACACCATTCTAGAGATACAATGATTAGCAAATCATGAGTTAGGTGTTCAAGTATCCTAGAGCAGGGTTTCTTAATTTCAGCACTATTTTTTGTTTCATAATTTCAACTTTTATTTTAGATTAAGGGGTACATATGCAGGTTTGTTACATGGATATTTTGCATGATGCTAAAGTTTTGGGTATGAATTGCCTTGTCACTCAGTTGGTGAGTATAGTACCCAATAGGTAATTTTTCGTTACTTTTCCCCCCTCCCTTACTTGCCTCTCTAGCAGTCCTCAATGTCTTTTTTTTTTTTTTTTTATAAAATTCTCTTTTTTTCCCAACTTTTATTTTAGACTCAAGGGGCACATGTTCAGGTTTCTTACATGCATAAATTGCACATTGCAGACATTTAGGGTACAGATTATTTTGTCAGCTAGGTCATCAGCATAGTATCTGATAGGTAGTTATTTGATCCTCACCCTTCTCC